TTGATAAAGTTGCGTGGGTATCCATTTTGTTGGAAGATGTTATATAGGTGGTCTGTTTCCTAGCAAATGAGTTTCATGTTTTAAATGATTATATAGCTTAGACCATCATCCAAATTGGGTCAAGTAAATTACAAATTGTGTAATTTGTGTTGTTTACCAGAAATGAGAAAAATAAGTTGCTATTATACAGTGATCATTTGTATATGTATATGTTTCATTCAGAAAACTTTTCTGGAGAAAAAGATGAATGAGAAATGGAAGAACATCTAACGTAGAGAACATAAAGAATAATCTAGTAAGTATATTTTTATAACTTAGAGATCACACAGAATGAAATCTATCTAAGCATAAGAGCTGTCATCAAATCCAGTTCCATTTAGTGTAGTGTCTAGCCTCTGCTTGAACCTTTCCAGTAAATGGGAAGTCACTACCTCCCTCAGTAATTGATTCCACTGAGCAGCTTTTCCTAACTTTCAGCTGGAATCTGTCTCCCTGAACTTAAGATCATTTTTCTGATCTGAACATAAGAATAGTTATATTTTAACAATGTAGAAAAATCAGGGCATTAACCTGATTGTTAAAGATGACCAAAGACTTAGTTATAAATATTTTCACTACTTTCATTCGTGCAGTCTTCTCCAGCATGATGTTTTTCAACTGTGTTGGATTACATATTCCATCCCCTTAGTGAGCATGGCATTGAGACCTGGGGGACCAGTTTGGAGAAAACAGCACAAAAGAAAGTACATTGCTAATTCACTTATTGCTGAGTGTATTTTTCTTATTAAATATCAAGACTCAAACCTCTTTCCACTGAGGTATTAGGAGCACTATAATTATGATCGTTTTCTCAAACATCATGATAACTATGTACAATGCACACTGTCCTACCCAAGCACGGCATTGCAATGGGTCCCCTGCAAAAAAAAAAAAAAAACACAAATGGTTAGTACAGCAATCTGATAAACAAGCTGACAACTACATTTAGGTACATCACTTGTAGAGCAATCCAGAGTGCTGATCATCATAAAGCAGATAAACTTTAGATCTGAGTGATCATCTTTATACTATAATGTTATTTATTTGATTTGTATAGCCACCCTTCTCCCCTAAGTGACTCCGGATGGTTCACAAGAATCCTTTGAGTTATCAATTATAGTCTGGCGCAAAAGACCCATACTTGGTATTGCAGAATTGTGGGCCCTGGAATTTGATTTGAGTTCTAGAATTCAAAGTCCTTTGACAGAAAAAAAACACTACTAAGTACAAACTTTCCTCATTTCAGATGAGTAAGTATGAGTAGGAATTGCTTTGTTGCTTCATTATTAAACAATTGGGAATAAAAATGTTTGCAAAGTCACTGCAAATCACTCAAAGACGTACTAGAAAATCCAGATCCACTTTCTGTTTATACATGTCTTAAGGGATATTGTTTATTTAATCTGCTTTACGTGTGTGCATGAGTGTGAACAATTTTCTATAAATTTGTTTCATGAGTGCAAAAATTAAATCTGAACAACACAGAAGTAGAAATACTATTTTTCCGTCTGGAATGCCTTGTTTATTTATTTCAACGGATATGGGCACCCATCTCAGCAATGCCAAACTGGGTAGCTAACAGCTATTCAAGTACAATATAAATACAATGTGTATTAAATAATAATAATAATAATAATAATAATAATACCACCATTCCCAACCAACCAACACAAAGTGGCTCTTGAACACATCATTCACCAGTAGCATGGGATCCAATTAATTGGACTTCAATACAATGAAATAATCATTAAAAATTGAATTAATATAATAAAAGGAGTACCATAATTTGTTAAATATGTGACATTTCATTTATTCATTTTGTTTTAGAAGACTCATGTGTTTGGATATGGTTATGGAAGTAAGAACAGGACAACAGAAATTGTTTTTTCATTCTTTTATGGTTGCAAAGCAAGTTACATCATAAGGCTAGAAAGCGACACACTGTACAATGTCATGGGTCAACTCCCTCCAGGAGGGAGGGATCATCCCCTGATAGGGCCTTGGAAGTGGGCATTTTCAGTAGCCACTTCCACTGTTTGGACTGTCTTCCTGGCAGAAACTGAGTCAGCTTTGTCCCTCCTGGGCTCTAGGAAAATGTAGAAAACTGCCATGTTCCTTACTGCATGGTATCATGACTAAAAATGGAGTTCATGGGTATAAGATATTTCTATTTCTTGGGGTTTTATAGGGTTTTTTTTTTCTTATATGTTTGGGGGCTTTTTTATTTTGAAATTGTTAGCCGCCCAGAACTTTTGGAAATGGGTGGCATAAGAGCAAAATAAATACAATTTTAAAAAATGTAAGCTGCTTGTATAGATAAGGGGACTTTTTTTTTTTGGCCTATAATAAAAAATTCAAAAATGTTGGTTTATCAAATAACCTGTAGTTAGCTTAGTATATACCTCACCATAAAAAAAAAACAAAAAACCATGGCTTAGAATAATGTGAGAACTTCTCTGTAGTGTTTTTTCCAAACTGGCAAAAAGTAGTAAAAATAACTCCAACATATAGAAGACCACGATGTGGTGATGGCTGCCACCCTTAAAAGTCTTTAAAAAGGGAGCAGAGGATAAGACTATCAGTGATGGTTAGTGGTAATGAGTGTTAATCTCAGGGATGGAAGGCAACCTACCAACTGCTGGAGAGCAACAACGAAGGACGTACTGCTTACGGGCTTCCTAGAGGCATCTCATAGATTAAATGTGGCAAACTGAATATGGGACTGAATTGATTTTGATATGGTCAGAAAGACTCTTCTTGTGCTTTATGTAATTGTCCATAAGATTTCCTTCACTTTTGGAGATGGAATGACACCAATTGTATACTAATTTCAAATTAATTATTAAAATACTTAAACTATGCCACATCTGACTGATATCAAGACTGATGTGGCATATTTGATCTTAATAAATCCATACTGACTGTTACTAATTTTGGGCTGGCTATTCAAAACTTGTCTTAATATTTGAATAAGACAAATATTCAACTTCTTGAATATTCTTAAACTTTTTAGAAGATCAAGAAGTTTTGTAATTCCATTTAAGATCATACTCTGTTCTTGTGTATGTCTTCAAATGTATTTGCTACCCTGAATGAAAGATTGCTGAATTGTAATTCTGTTTTTAAAAACAGCTGAAACCATTGTAGAATTCTTTGGAGATTTTAATCACTGAACAATAACAACTCCTATTTTTCTGGAGAAAAGATAGTGTTGCCTAAACTACAAAGTGAAATGTAAATGAAATCTGGCTGAGGACTCTGGTTATATGGAGAAGAATCAAAACAAGGAATGAGGTACCAGCAACAAGAGAAAATGTAAAAGTTTGCAAATGCAATTTAATTTGCTATATGTTAATTAATGTGCAATGATATCAGATCTAGACATCAGTTACTGTTGAAGAAATGTTATCTTTTTTCCAAGACGCTTCAAATACAGACTTACAGCTCAGCCTGAGAACTAAGCAATGGAAAAACAAATACTTTTAAACAGTTGTAATCCAAAATGGACCTCAGCCATTTCCTTTTCTGGAGAGGCTTTAAAAGACATACTCCAGATATTTTACTAGCTGGTCTTGGTGTTTATAATATTTATATATGTGCTATATAATACTTAAGCGTTCCAACAATTTCTGATAAAAGTTAGTAAATAACCATGTATTTTCACTTACATTTCTAAACCTGTTTAGACTATCACGTAAAAGTTAATTACAAAGCATTAACTTAAACAAGGAATAAAACAAGGCCATTTTAAACAGAAGCTTGAAATATGGATTTATGAATATTTTGTACATTTTAACTATTATTAACTTTTGCTTAAGCATAAGATTTAATTTACATTACATTTCTGCACATACAGTGGTGCTTAAAAGTTTGTGAATGCTTTTGAGTTTTCAATATTTCTGCATAAATAGGACCTAAAACATGATCTGTTTTTCATACAAGTCCTAAAGCCAGTTAAACAAAAGAGTCAAAAACATTATACTTGTTCATTTAATGATAGATTGATAATGATACAAACCTACATATTTGTGTGTGGCAAAAGTATGTGAATCTAGGATTATCAGTTCATTTGAAGGGGAAATTAAAGTCAGGTGTTTCAAGCAATGGGATGATAATCACGTGTGAGGGTGGGAGGTCCTGCCTTATTTATAGAACAGAATTCTGGGTATTTGCTATCAAAGTCTGATCTTTACAACACAGGTGTGTGGATGTGTTTCATGGTACAAAGGAGATTTCTGAGGACCTCCAAAAAACAGTTGTTGACGCTTACCAGGCTGGAAAAGGTTACAAAACTATTTCCAAAGAGTTTGGACTCCACCAGCCCACTATCAGGCAGGTCACAAATGGAGGCACACCACTGTCTTTATAGCAGGTACTGCCCTTTGCTTTTCACCCTCTGAGGGTGTGGGCAGTGACACAAATTGGAGGCAAAGTATCATGTTTAGTATCATCATTTTTGTAGAAATACCTGATTGTTAAATTAAAGCTGCAATGCTTCCTGGTAGTAATTCCACTGAACTCAGTGGGACTAATTTCCAAAAACTATGGACTGGAATGGAATGTAGACCAGCTTCTGGAGTATATCCTGTCACTGAGCACATGGCAAAACAAACAGTTCCCCAGCTTTAGAAACTTAAAGATAATTCACACATTATAGAACTCCTATGTGGAAATTGCTTCTATGTAAGGAAGAGACAAAAAAGTTTCACATCTCTTTCTCTGTTATCCTTTTTTATCTTCAGCCTGCCTTAATTTCATGTCCCCAAAAGCACATTTGGCAAACTATAAGAATTTCAGCTTTCAGTAAAACAGAAAAAACATTTTTTTTCTTTACTTTGGGAGAAGTCAAGCTTAAAGATGAGTCTATGAAACCAAGTCTTGGTCATTGTGTTCTGTTACTCTTTCCCTTCTGCTTATTTATGCTGCATGCCTCCTGGCGCATCACTATCTTATTTATAAAGCACACTGAAGTTTATTACAGTGCTTAGAGAAATATGAAAAAGCTAAAATCAATTATTTCAATACTTGCACACCAACCTCCCTTTTTAAAATTGTAAGAATGGTTAATACTAAAGGCGCTTTTCTCTTTCTGCAATACATGTTCCTCTTGGTGCTGGCATTCCCCTTCCAGACTAATATTGTATTAAATTAGCTGGAAAGCCAAAGCAAAGATTAAGTTCATCACACTGAACTCCATTAGATCAGAAACTCCACATTCATATGCCTACCCATCTTTCCTATTACTAAAATATGCAAAAATGGATGGAACTTATCTGTGTGAGAGGAAAAAAACTGATTTTATTAATACTTAAGGCCTTTGTTAATTGTAACATAC